CGGCAGATGGAATACGGAGGAGGCCTAATCTGTGGGATCGAATGGGTCTGTGGGAGGTAATCAGCAGAAGGCGGTCTCTCAAGTCAGTCTTTGTAACCTCACTGTAGTATAGCTGGACAATCAGACATTGGGTACCCTGAGGGGGATTCAAGAGATGATCAAGGGCCTTGGACTGAAACTTCATCTCCTGGACCTTCTGCTAGGAGCCCATCTCCCTTATCTGAAGGTGAAATCCCAGGGGAGGGTGAGTTTTTGGAAGGCGAAGGCCCTGCTCTCCAAGATGAAAACAACTGCCCATATAGGAAAGGATGCAGCTGCGCAGGATTCCGGCCAAGGGTCGGTGGCTCTTCTGAAAACTTTTCAAGGGGATTCTTTTGCTTTGCTTTGCTTTGCAACATGATTAAATATGTATGTTCATGATACTGTTAACTTTCTGTATCATTTTATAGCATTTTTATTCAAAAAGATACAATCAGGTTCAAAATATTATGATAGAACTTTGAAATCGGGAAACAGACGCTGCAAAAGTACCAATTCTACTTTATTATTTTGGCATATAATAACTGAATCTTGACAAACTCTGACAAAGATTCTATTCTCTTATACTAAAGAGAATCAAAGTAGGGCAATCTTAGTTTCTTCCTCAATCCCTCCTGTCTATCTGAACTAAACTGATGTTTTCATAATTGTTGAATTCTTTCTTTAAGATCAGCTATGTATTCAAGGTCACCCATTCTACAGATGGTAGGCGCCATCTTTAGATTTTTTTTTCCTTTAAAAGCTAAATTTAAATTCATTTGACACATTCCTTTTCAAATACCTTCCTCATTGAAAAGATTATTGCTTTATTAATGTTCATATTTTACTCAATGCAGTGAAATATGATCAAATTATGATGATTTATTCTAAATAGTTTTCTTTCTTCTTTCTCCCTGGGCTTAATAATAGGAGCAGTTTCACAGGTGTTAGACAGCCTAGAAGAAATTCATGCACTTACAGATTGCAGTGAAAAAGACTTAGACTTTCTGCATAGTGTTTTTCAAGATCAGCATCTTCATACATTACTAGATGTAAGTATTTTTTTCTCTTTAAAAAAATTGTTTAATTTTAGCTATAATCAAAAAATAATGCAAATAAGAAATATGAAACCAAACTAATAGAACTTAGGTCTGTTCTTAGCAGTATTTTTGGTGCTGCAGATAAGACAGAAAATGTTTCCCTTCAGTATAATCTCTTAGCTAATTTCCTAAAACTGAGACGGAGCAAGCTTTACAAACATTTTTTCACAAAGATAGCATAAATACAAGATGCCTGCAGATGTACTTTGACAATAATTTCAGAAGTATCCTGCTTAAAATAATGTAAAATCTTAAAAATAAACAATATTAGATTATTACTAGAGTACTTTAGGTGTTTCTATAGATCACAATTTTAAATTGGATGTATGCATTAACTGGAGGCCAGAGTAACTGAAGTTATAAACATGCCTTATAGAAGCTACATTGAATATTTTACAATTCAAGATTCCAGTAGTCACCTTTAAAGTCCTAAATGGATTAGGGCCTTCATATATATGGGACCACCTGCTCCCAATGAAAATTGCATACCCAGAGACAGCAAGCTTGTTGATGGTTCCACAGCCAAGAAAATCCTTAGAGACCCCATGGTCATGCCCTTTTGGCAATACCTCCCTCCTCTGGATATACAGATTGGGCCCTTGCAGTTAAGTGTTAAATTTTGGAAAAAAAATTGTACTTCATTTATGAATCACATCATAAGTTACACTTCTGAGGTATGGTCTCATTAGTTATGATATTATGAAGGAGCTGGTTGAATAGTAAATATATTTTGTTCTTTTTTTCTGTTTTAATTTATCATTATATTGTATTTATAAATTATTCAGTAGCTCTTGGCTGTATATAAACCAGAGTAAATAAAATAAAATCATAAATAAATTCTTCGCAGTACACAGGCCTTCATAGTGACTGCATGTACATTGGTTTCTATGTGATTCAGAACCTGATATGTGGCAGCTAGTCATAGCACCGCCACAGTGTTGACAGGCACACTGTACATTAATATCTGCTATTTGTCATCCTAATACAACTTTTATAGATGAGGGTTAGGCTCATCATTAATGACATGGTGAGTTTATTTCTTTAAACCATGTCTGAGGAAGTTGAATATATTGAAATATTCCTCCATAGAAATATTAAGAAATGCATTTACTCTACAGTAAATCTCTTAAATCATTATAAATTGCAATTAGCAAGAAAATATGATTAAGTAACATTGCTTATTTCTGATGTGTCTTTCTATGAAGCATCATGAGCAGGCAAGAAGTTGATAAATGCGGCGTGGAAATGAAATGGTTACATTTTCTGCAATTATCTATAGAAAATTAGATTTACAGCATAGCAGATATTGATGTTTTTAAGTGAAATTTTCAGAGATCTTTATAAAACAAGCTGGTAAAATTGTTTTTAATACATTCATATTATTTTGTGTTTTTTTGTTATAGCTCTATGACAAAATTAATACAAAATCTTCACCACAAATAAGAAATCCACCAAGCGATGCTGTACAGAGAGCCAAAGAGGTAATTTTAAAAATAGTTTAATAATCAAAAAAATTAATAATTGTTTAAATCTGTAAATGAAATGTATGCATGTATATTTGTTTATGTATTTGCACAGCCCCTCAGTAGTTGCAGTAAACTTTTTTTTCTTTAAGAGGAATAGTAAAAAAAAAAAATTAGCCAGATTTTTTAAGATTAAATCATTTAACAGTTTTATTATTTCAGCATATTTCATTGTTTTTAAAACAATGTTTTAAAATATTGGTTTTAAAGGATTGTTTTTATCTGTCTTGAGTATCTTCCAGTAAAACAAATTGAAGAGATAAACAAATACTCATGTGAAATGTTTCAAGAATCTTTGCATACATTTCTAACCATCCATTTCACTGTACCCATACTCTTTTTACAGGTAGTCCTTGACTTATAATAGACATCAGTAATTAATGACCGTTTTTCAGCATCCCCATAATCGCATAATCAAAATTTGAATGCTTGGCAACTGGTTAATATTCACTTTCAACACTAGAGAAAACTATAGCCTTGCCCAGAAAACTGTAGGGACTAATGTAGACAGTTTCCAAGAATCAATTTTGACTCAGAAGAATCATTTTTAACAAAATAGATGTTTAGAACCAAATAAATCATTCCCACCTCAATTCCTTACATTGTTTCCTTACTTCTTGTCACTTGAAAAGTAATAATAGTCTCACAAGTGAAGAGGCAATGGATAACCCAAACAAACACCACCTCCCCCCTTTACATTTCTGTCATTTCCTAAGTTTTTTCCTTTTATAGCTAGTTTGCCTTCCAAACTTTATTCCCTTTTTGCCTCAGCTACCTACCCATAGATTATTTTTTTATATACCATGTATTACTGCCCTGTACTCACCTCTCCTTTGCAATCATCAGTGAATAAAATTGCAACTGCCTCAACTTGCATGACTTTTTTTTTTGTTTATATACACTGTATTTATTTCTATGGATGTAGCTTTGTCTTTACTAACTTATCAAAATCTTCCTTGCAGCATAAACCAATCTGGGAAGAGAAAATAAATCGCTTCATTCAGACTTTTTACTTTGGAATTCATGAGTCAAAAATATGAATTTTATTTGTTACTTACTTTATTCATATAAGTACTCTTATGCTTTACAGGTACTGGAAGAAATTTCATGTTACCAAGAAAATAGTGATGCAAAAGAACTTAAACGTATTTTAACTCAACCTCATTTCATGGTAACTAATTGTTACGATATCATTTTTTAATATTTCCCATAGAAAATAGATTCATAAAAAAAATATTATTTGAAAGCAGGGAGGGGGTAATTACTCAGAAATATATACAGCCTTTCATTGAATTTGAATGAACGCATTTTGAATGTTCATATATCTAAATTATTTCTGTCTCAATGCTCAACACTGAACTGGATGTAAGGAAGCTAATATCTTTGGCATGGATATTTCCCATTGATTGCAATGGATGATGGATAGAAATAGAAATATATTAATTAATTATATTAATAAATATATTAATTTTCCACAGATATTTTAGATGGCTCAACCTGTAATTTTGTTAGAAATAATATCTTAGTTAAGAATATCATAGAGACAGTTTACCCTTTAATGATTTCAGTTTAATGACAGTCTTACAGTGTGATGGTGCGCTCTGAGCCACTTTTTCACTGAAGGAATTGGGTCCCATCTCTCAACAGGCATGTCAAGAACACTTATCACCATCAGATTACTTAGTTTGGAACAATTAGGCAGGTTCTTTGCTCTGAACATATGAGGTTCATTTTTGAGAGCCTCCTTTCTGCCTCTGCTGAACTAACAGCAATTGTCCTGACAATATCTCTAGCTTTTCTGATACCATCAGGAATTTTGTTCTTGTTTGGATTTCTGAGCACATTTTCCCAAAAATGTTCAAATTAATTTCGTAATTAAAAATTTCACTAAATTCAAACAATGCTGCCTCTGCCTCAACCCATGGAACAACTACTTCTTCAATGTTCCAGGAATCTGGCTTCAAATATGTGATAAAGTGTAACTTGTTTGCGGCTGGCAATTGGCTACCTGTTTTTAGATGGTCGCAATCCATCAGCCTTTTCTTCAAAATGGTGATGATGCTTGACAGAATCTTGTCACGAGGAAGGGCAACAAATCGTTGATTTGAATTTAAATTGATGTTTTTGAAGGCTTGTGTTTTTAGCATTGCATCAAGGTTGTTTTCATATGCGCCCTTTCTCTGTCTAAGCACTTCAAAAGCTTTGATTGTTCACAATACTAACTTTTCAGCCTTGATGATATCTGTGTCTCTTCCCCTCCCCTGCAGGGCATTTGAT